GGTCTGCAATACTGCCTCCATGCTGAACTACATTATTGACTGATTTGAAGGGTAAGAAGTAATGAAAAGAAAGGTCTTACAGCATTTTAAGTGCATTTACTCTTATTAAATGAGTAATTATAGCAATACACACATGGAAAACGATTTGGTCTACTCGCTGTTATTAAGTTCTCTTTTGCTTTCAGACAATGACCTCTCTTAACTACTTCCTGCGGGATTTTATCAAGGACGTCATATCCACGCTGAAGCAGGGACTCGTTTGCTAACAGCCTCATCCCTGCAGGATTCTGAGCATCCACAGCTGCATCGTGTCCGCCCCATCAAACGAGAGCTAAAGAAATTCGGCACCGCCACCACGTTGACAAACGCGTGGCCAGAGGTACTAGCAGTGTAGAAGGGCCGACCTCGGTGGAGCCGCGCGGATCCGCACTACCAGCGTATCTGCTCCGCTGGGTTATGTAGCACGGGGGCCCTGATTCATCTATTGTTCTCATTGTGCAAAAGGTCCTTACTCTTCCAGGAATACAGTTATAAAAATGGAAACCTTATTGTCCGCCCGCAGTTTGCTTTAGACTCCGCGTGCTTCAAACTGTGTGGGACAATATGGAACACACCGAAAGTTGGAGCAAGATAAGGATGAGCCCTAGCAGCCTATTTGGTATTTAGCCTTTGACTTGCTGTTGTCACAGATATACTTTTGTACGGAGCACACGCACGTGAAAGCCAGTGCCTTATACAACAATAGCGTCATTTTCCTAAAAATAATAGTTTCATCCATTTTCTGAGCAAATTCCAGCTGATTGTCACGAGTTCAGTATCGCACTCAAAAAAAGCTAGGGAATGGTCTGTTTATATTACAGTATCATAAAATCTGAGGCTGTGCAGAGTCAGGAGAGCTGAAGCAGCCACCCCTCCCTCTTAGATAATCAAGCAATCTCTCTTTATCATCTTTTACTTAAATAGGCAGAAATAAGAAATTGTTGCGCACAGTTTGGGCTGCCAACTTGCTTGTTATGCTCAATTGAGGCTGCTAGAAATGAAAGGGAGATGGACTACAACCAAAGTAACAAAAGCCATGTGATTAAGAAAACAGATTCTCTAATTATGCTTTCAAATGCAGCAATTTGCCAGGGATAAAATATCCATCAAGAGCAGTCTGAAGTGCCAAATTTAGAAAGGAAACACTGCACAACCCAGCAACCTTTTCACTTTGCTGACTTCCTGTCGGAGGACATGTTGAGACCAGATGTGCAAAGAAAAAATCCCAAGCCCTCATTGCCAATCAAGATGGAATGAAATTTGAATATGCATGTAATCACTTAATCCAATACTCTTGTGGAAATTGTGTTATGTATGTCCACCATTTTCATCCCTTCACAAAGGCAGCTGGAAATGGAGAAGACAGTGAAGTTTGTCACCAGCGGTCAGGAAATTTTTGATGCTGATAAAGCAATGCCAATTCAAAAGCGCAAATAATGCACAATGCAAACCCAATCTCAAAGAACTATGCATAGCTGAGGCGCCTATCCACGCGACAGCCTTTTCTGCCTCGCTCTGTTTTTATTATCTGAAAATATTTAGAATGAGTGGTCTCTCTCCCATTAGTTCAGAAGAATGGAAACACTCATATACTTAATAAATCTTAGTAGGAAAAAGTCTCTCACGTGCTAGAGCACCGCGGGCAACCAACGCCCACCCATGGCCTTGCAGGCTTTTTGCTAGTCAGCATCTTTCTTGGGATTGAGTTACTTACGGGAAAGGACTTTGAGTTAGAATCTTTCATTCGATCCAAGAATTGAGCGTAGTCTACTTTATTAATTACACATTTAAATTGCATTTAAATCATAAGGCTCTCTACATTTAGCCACAGGATGTCGAATTCACCTGTTCTGCTGTGAATGTAAAATGAGGGAATTTTCCAACGGGCTTATATCAACGATGGGAACTTGAAACCCAGAGCTCCTGATACACGTAGAAATGTGTTCCTAGATTAACCTTCTGTCCAGCGTCTGCCGCTGGGAATATGCTCATGCACAGCGGCGAGGGAACGAACACGTTTCTTTTCGTAAGACACTGAGGTGAATGCTGAAGCAACCAGATTGCTAAAATAACCCATCAAAAGTGAAAAATCAGGTTTAATCTGCAAAAGAAAGAGTGGCACCTTTCGAAGGCAGAGCAGTCGCAACTTACCTTTCCTCTGAGTTTCGGGGGGATTGATTGTTGTGGTTGCTGTTTCCAATAAAATTCCTAATTTCTGTGAAGTAAGAGTCTTCCTTGTCATCTAGGATTGCCCCTGTGCTTTCCAGTTCTGAGTGAGGTGAAGATGTTGCAGTACCTTAAAGCAAAATAGAGGACTTCTGTTGCTGCTCCTTTATATTTTCTATATTTAATAATCATTTAAATCAAATTGAAATTGAAACGATGGCTACAACGGGTGAGACCCAGAAAAGGTGGTCATAGTGATCCATCAGCTGCAAAACCAGTAATTAGAAGGGAAGTATCATTATCCATGGGTGAAGGTGGTTTCCAGCCAAAATGACTGCTTGCATGCTGGGTGCCATTTCCATGGTTTATAATTGCTTTTGCCAAGTATCTAATTCAACGTCTCCCTCCTGTTCCCTTGCGACTCCAAGACTGTCAGTCAATAACTGTGTTAGACCAATGGCTGAGCTAGCAAATGGAACTTCATGTTAGCTACTAATTATGCAGATTGGCTTAAAATATGGAGCAGCCATTGACATAATCAACCAGGTTCATTAGCACTGAGACCAGTGACAGACGTCTTTCTCCGTGCATCGGGGGAAAGACAGCTCTGCATTCCCTGCAGGTACCTGGTTATTTCCAGTGGAGCAAAACGTAGACTGAAAAGACTGCAGAGTTTTTATTAAACCCTGCAGATACCTAAACCAGACCGATGATCTCCACTACCTGCCGCTGCCTTTGCTGCTGCTGTGTGGTGACCGATTTGCTCTGGGGCTTGGGAGGCACCATTACCTCCGTAATAGCTAGCGCTTTTCAGCTCCTGACAGTGGGAATATTTTAGAGGGTGCCAAGAAAATCTTTTAGAGTGCCCCCTGAGACTCTAAATCTAGGACTCCTATTGAGAGCCAAGTGATTGCGGAGATGGGATTAAACCAATTTTCCCAGTCTGTTCTCAAAATGCGACAGTTGGCTTAATTAAAACCAAAAGAAAAGACATCATCCAGCGGTATTAAGTTATACAAGGGTAGAGTTTATGCTGGGATTTTCAAAGCACTTTAAATGTCAGCAGGGCTTAGGCACTTACATATTTCCTCAGAACCCACTCATCGGAGCAGACGGCGCAGAGCGACGCGCGCCTACCGACAGTCAGTAATATTGGAAGTGAACGTGAGGTCCCTGCGTATGAACGCTGGCGGTACGTGGGGCACGCTGGGGAGGGAAAAGGCATACATACCAGACATGTTCCCGTTCTCATGCTTTTTTAGATGTCTGTCAAGATTGGTTTGTTGACCAAAACACCTGTCACACAAGTGACACTTGAATGGCTTCTCTTTATTGTGGATGTTACGGACGTGTCTCTGCAGGTTAGATGATATGCTGAAGGACCTGTCACAGTATTTGCATCTAAAAAAAACAAAAAAAAAGGTGGGTAGAAAAGGGTTTGTTAGTAACTGGAAATGTAAGATTTGTCCTAAGAGACATGATGCACCCTCCGGGCTCAGCCTAAGCACCCGACTGCTGTTCCTTGGTCCCTATTGAGGCAAACCCCTCCCTGAAAGAAGGCTGAATAACAGGAGAGCTGTGCTCTTGGAATGGAGATGTCACTTGTACGGTGGGTTTTTTAGCTTTAATTCACATTAGGCTTTACATTTGAAATATCACCTTTAGGAATAAGCATAATATTTCAGAGGTAATGGCATCAAATTAGCTGGGGTAACTGACTCCCATGTTTTTAAAACTGTTGCACGCAAAGTTGGGAAGTTTGAAAACAGTAGAGCAATAACTCCATTGTTTCATGTGCTGCCAATACAATACAATTAAACACTTCTGGAAAAAACATGAAACCGATCTCTTCTAATGTTCAAATAAGGTAAAAAGGGCTATTTCTTTTCCTATTCTAAATTATACTGTGTGATTAAATCTTTTCTTGAGGAATTAGCCTGCTCGATTGCTAATCCCAGAGGAAATTTGGTTATCTTGCAAAAACCAGCAATAAACAATCCCAACCTTTAATACTGTGCCAATGTGAGTAGTTTAGTCTATCACTCTGGTACCAGAGGCATCAATTTTCATACTCTGTAGCGATTTGGAGTCCCTAAAGCCTTTACTGTATTGCTCTTTAAGCCATTACTAAGTCATACTATAACTATTCCAAATTCTCTAGCTGGCGACCAGCCAACAGTCTTCGCCACTTTAGTTTTTCAATCTTTTACTTCTCCCGTGCTTCTCTTACACTTGTCAATGATGTCAATTTTTTTTTTTTTTTTTTTTTTTTAGTGCTGAAATCGTTCATTATGCTACTAATTGCTCGTGGCTTTTATGTAGTGGATGAGCATAACATGCATCAAGACCTTTCTTCAACAAAATTAGATGTGAATCTCATTTCCCAAAGAGACTAGAGGCAAAAAACATTGTTTCCTCACAAACAATGAGCTTACTCTGCTCTTTACAGCTCATAAAACACAGAAATTGGTGCATTTGTTTTACTGGAATCCGAACTGGCTTCCTTCCAGTTGATTTAAATTAGTCTTTCATTTTCCATAAGGTGAAGCTTCCATACACATTTCTGCATGTGACTGTCCTGGATGCAGTATCACATGCATATTCTTATCAACAAGAGAGTACGCCCACATGGGTTTTTGGTTAAGCAGACCTCAGAAAGGAGCCAGATTAGGCAGGAAACAAATAAATATAGTAACGCCTTTGCAACCGGGACCTTTCAGAAATCAGATGATTGATGAAACACCCAAACTTAGGCTGCAAATAACACCACAGAGCTCTTACAATAAAATGATTTATGCAAGGGAGAATATGACCATGAGCCCTGTTGAAAATCACTTCAACCATGCTGGTTCAGAAGTGCCAGCTATCCCGCGAGGCAAAGGTAGGACTTGCAGATGGTGCCTGGGTGGCTGCCTAAGCCAAAAGAATTTCAGTAATTAGGACCAAAACCTTTCCCCATCTCCGCAGCTCCGACGCTGAATATCAGCATCAAGTGCAAAAAGCCCTGTTTGAGACCAAAACGCAATGGTGGGTCACCAACGCCAAGGAGCGAGCGCCGGAGCTGGCCCAGCAAGGCTGCTGAGCGCTCATTGCCTTGCTTTATTCACTTGGCCACACCATGGACACGGGGGTAAGGGGCCGCGGTACCTATAGGGCTGCTCTCCAGTGTGAGTCCTCAGGTGGCGTGTTAGGTTTGCAGATCTCGGGAAAATCTTGCCGCAGTATCTGCGATAAGAAAAGGTTTGATAAGACAACGCAACCTTCAGTGGCTTCATCCCAGTCTGAGCTGCCCCAGACGCATAGCCCAAATTGAATCATTAATATATGGTACTATTGGCATTGCTTTGGCGTAATGACGCTTCAATAAAATCATTCCAGCAAATATAAGTGATTTGAGACACACACACAAGAATGCGGCTGGAATTCCTGGCACCAACAACCTTTTCTTGTGCATAAGCAAGGGATATATGAAAACATACCCATTTTAAAGATCACCCAAAATTTCTAAGTTCGCTAAGGTGATTCACATTCAGATTTGGAACCAAGAGAATCTGTTATTAAAGCCTTGGATTTCTGCCTCCATGTAAGCAAATTTCAAACCTTTCAACCAATTCTACGTGTCAGCAAACGTGACATCATTCTGTGCATTGAATAGGATCAGAGCAGACAAGACTCAAAGACCTAATCCATCAAGGTAGGTTTCTATAACAACATGTCTTGAAAGAAGGTGACATGTTTTCAAAAAGATTAGATAAACCGATATGCCAGCATCAAACGCCTGCACATTCTGGAGATGATATGGAGACCAAAATAACGCAATTTAAAAACCATTCTCCAAACTCAATAATACGCCACAGGAACAATAATGGCAAAAAAATAATAATATCGTGAGCCCTCCCCCCTCATTTCAGTAACATATTAATATTCAGTTTATAATAGGCCCTATTAATGACATTCTATTAATAACACTCAGCCCATTTTTGCACAGGGACAGTGCACACACAGCACGCTCCTAAGTGAATGAGGGTGGTGGCTGCTCCACGTGACGACTTTGAAGATTGCATCCCTTCACTTTTAACATCCCATTTATTTTTTCACAATGTGATGTATAAGCCTTCAAACTACACAGCTAATTCTGCGCTCCTCGACAAAGCTCCCATTCATTTTGGTTGCACGCACAATGACTATCTTCATTGGATTTTTTTTTTAAGTCTGTACACATAAGTCCTAATAAGTCATGTATTTTATCACTGATCCCTTTGGATATTAAAACCAGAAGCCTGAGAAAAAACACGCCTGTAGTTTATGATCAAAAAAATCAATAATGAAAACCCGCTTGTGCATATGGGAAGTGATGAGAAAATTTGGAAAAAAAAGAGTTGTTTATATAATAGTTTCCACCTCATTTATCAAACCAGTATGATAGAGGGCAAACTCTTTGTTTCATAACATCAGTAATTTAATAAATAAGAACCCCAAAGCAAAACGCTTCCTGTGTTTCATTGGAAGCTGTCCGAGCCGGGGGGATTTGGGGAGCCTGGGAGGGCACCCTGGGGTGGGTTTGGGGCTACCTGCAGGTGTAGCGTTCCTTGCCCTTCCGCAGCAGGGTTTCGGGCAGGGTGCTTGGCGGTGCACGGAAGTTGAACATGGACGGCACTGACTGGATCAGCTCGTTGGCCTCCGGTTTCAGGGCACTAAAGCTCTCCAGCTTTTCGGCCATGTTTTCTATAGCTGACATCTGCAACAGAAGATGGCACAGAACCCGTCACGGTGAATACTGCTTCGGCTTTCTGCCCTCACTGGAAACCCAAAATATACAAACAACATACATTGCCAAGGGAAAATAAAAAAGGAAAAAAAAAAGAAAAAAAGCAAACATAGAGTTGCAGTCACAAAAATTATGGGGCACATTAGGCAAGGTGGTGGCCACAACATTGTCCCACTTGGCATAACGCCCATAACTGCTATAACGGGGTGCTGTTTCTCTGCAAGGCCAGCACAGAGCAGAACTTCTGTGCTATAAAGGAAAACAGCTTCCATACAAAAATCTTAAATTAGCCAGTGTTCATCTCTTCTTACTTTTAAGCCTCAGCTTCTATAAACATCCAGTTTTTGCAGTCATGCTCTGTGAGTGCGTGCCCGAGTCTGTGCATCCCACCTACTGAAAGCATTGGCCATTTTTTGACCAAATCAACAAAAAAAAATGGAGACCCCAACAATAACTGAATCCCTACAGGTTTTTTGGTTTTTTTGTTTGTGGTTTTTTTTTTAAAGGACTTGCAGAGGACAAATATTGCAGAGGACACCTTATGAACACCCTAGTTCAACCAAGGGCTGCAGTAAGTCAGATCCAGAGAGGCTCCATCAACGTCCCAGCCGCATCCAACCATTCAGTCCAGTCTTCTTGCCCACCACAGTCAAAGACCATGAGATAAATCCATAAGAAATAAAGCTTTGGTGGTTTTGGTGCTCTGTGTTTACATTACCTGTTAGGTACCTCTCCTGTTTTTTCAAAACCTCTTAATAGTCCTGCTCTGCCTTTAGTTGCTTCTAAACCCTATGCACATGGAGATGCCTCCGCTCTTGGTTAGCTGTCTTGAAGGGCTTTAATTTTCACGGTGTGGGCACTGAATAATTTCTGGAGAAGAATGGTTTCCTTTAAGGTGTCTGGAACTGACCATGAAAAACTGCTCCAAACCCTCAAACATTATCTCTTGGAGAGTTCACGACTGCTGCTGAGCCTACTGACAGGGGAGAGCAACCATCTGCCTCTTCATAACAGCACAAGCACATGAAAACAAAGAAACCCAAGATCTCACCTAAAGAGCATGAAGCCCACAGCATGAGCCCTGCGCAATACCTTGCCTGTAATGGAGGAGGAAATTGTCTGAAAGCCAAGATGCTGAACACTCCTCAGCTGAGCACACCTTTCCAGCCCATCCTTCAAAATCCGTAAGAGACTGCTCCAATTGTTGGGATTTTAAAATTTTGTTTAATGAGAAGAATTTCGTATTTGTTGGGCTTTTTCTAAATTTTATTTTAATGGGCAGAACTGCACATTTGTCTCCTGGAATGACTATTCACGTGCTGGTTAGCTCTGGCTCTGGGTTAGTTTTTTTTTTTTTTTCCCCTTTACCCTGTAGCCTGCCCTCTCATTTCATGCTCAGATTCCTAATGCTGAGGACAAATTGCAATGTACAGGGTACCACTGCCAATTTGCCAAATGTCTTTCATCAAACACGGTGCAAAAAAAAAAAAAAAAA